TCCAACAGCAGAAACCAAACTGCTATGTTATTGGTAGACCATCTCAGTAGTGTGTCAGATGTAGAGATGCCTCCATGGGTCATAGAAACTAGGGTACCAAACAAAGAAGCTTTTAAATTGGCCAGAGTGGATCTCCCTGATGTACCACACACACACAGTTACTGATCCTGCCCACCTGACCCAGAAGTGAATGGCTAAAGGGCTCCTCAGGCCTCAGTGTTGATATCTGTTTATTTCTGTTTCACCTATTTTTATTTCAATATTCTTAATTTATCTTGTTTCCACAGATTTGCTATGGGTTGTCATCACATCAGCTTGAAGGAACTCAACTCACCAAATTGCATTCCTATCCTTGATTAAAACAAAAACAAAAGAAAACAAAACAACAAAAAAACCCCACCAATATTTAGAAGACAATATCCCAAGATTCTCTCTTATTGTATTTTGCTACAGAAGACTGCATTAAACATTAGCACTTGTGATGGGCTTATTTTCTGCAAAATGTCTATGTACTTTGGAGTATGCAATATTGAAAATATAAGTATTTTGAGAAATGAAATCTTTTCTATCTGAAAAAATATCTATTTCATATTCTTCTAATGATCCAAGAGATGGAACACCTCTCCTACAAGAACAGGCTGAGAGAGCTGGGGCTGTGGAGCATGGAGAAGAGAAGGCTCTGTGGAGACTCATAGAAGCCTTTGAGTATCTGAAGGGGAACTACAGGAAAGAAGGGGACAAAATCTTTATCAGGGTCCATTGTGGTAGAACAAGGGGAAATGGTTTCAGACTTAAAGAGGGTAGATTTAGGATATAAGGAAAAAGTATTTTACAGTGAGGGTGGTGAGGCACTGCAACAGGTTGCCCAGAGATATGATTGATGCCCCATCCCTGGAAACTTTCAAAGCTAGGATGGACCAGGCTCTGAGCAACTTGATGTCCCTGTTCATTGCAGAAGAGTTGGACTTTAAAGATCCCTTCCAACTGCAAGGATTCTTTGATTCTATTATGCTTATACTATAATCCCAGCTCCTGAATAGTAAAATTGCTCAGTATAGACTTTCTTTTTAATTTTTTTTATGAAGCAGATATTTTGTTTTCATTAAATCAGAGAACGAGAATGATCTACAGAGCATACCCTGCAATCAGGAGTTGCCTCCATAGGATACAAATGGCCTCATGTTTGGGCAGCACTGTTTGCTCAAGAGTTCAGACAGAAGAAACAGGGAGGATGCATAGGAAGGAGGGAAGAAAAGCCCCACAAAATAGTAGAAATAACAGACAATGGGAAAGAAAGTAGGAGAGATTAACATGAAAAAAACAGTATTGAGAGCTGGCAATGACCTTACAGGGAGGCATACCTTATTAATGGGAAATGCTGTTTAGATATTTTGTTAAGTAGGAATTAGTAAAATCAATTAATTATCAGGCGGGAGAGAGAGGAAATGCAAGATGCCAGGAAGCAAAATGTGCATTTTGCTGGGATAGCTTCAGAGTACAAAAGCCAGGCTAGGAACCTCTGCCTTTGAGCTGGACTGGGAATGGAGAGCAGACCAAGCTGCTCCTCTGGTTCCTGGGGAGGAAGGCTCAGGGCATGGGCACCACCAGCAATGGCTTTGACATTGGTCCTGGATTTTAAGGATGTAATAAGCAGACAGAAGTATTTCTGGCCAACATCCATCCAGGTATTGAGAGTGAGGCCTTCATGTCTTGTACTTGGATGAAGGTTTAGGCTGTGCTGGTAATACCCCAGAGTAAAGGTCATGATCTGCTTGAAATTAAAGTCTGGTCTCAGGACAGCTCTTTGTGGAGATAGCAACCTCGTGGCAGTCTAACAGTGAGGTCAATACATAACAGGGACATCAAAATGAAATTACTCCTGAAGGTGCTCCCGCTAGGCCAAGATTAAGGGATATGATGGATGCCTTGTTCAGTGCATGCAATGCCTCATGCTGCCGACAGCCTTGCTTCTCTCATTTATGTTTAAGAAGCTTAGAGGAAAGCATTCCAACATTTTGGAGTACTAATGTAACATATTATTCCAACATTTTAAAATATTAATGTGTCCTGCTACAGTTGCTAGCAAACTGCATGCACCAGCCAGACAGCTTGCAATAAACATCCTACCATGCTCTTAACCCCATCTGACTTTCTGCTAATGATTTATTACACAACGGTGATGCTTCACTTAGGGTTTCATAGAGATGCACACCATGTCTTACCAGCCACACAACAATTCCACATAATGAATGAATTAGTCCTAGCACCTAATTGCTTTAAAACTTGTTCCTGACTCCTGTATGCCTGGCATCAAGAATAGCTCCGTGGATCCCTTTCGCTAAATAATTAGACAGAAAGCTAAAAATCTTACACAAAGGTGCAAAACTAGAGCGCACACGATACCTCACAGTATTACATAACACAAAAAGGTTATTAACAAGCAACTCAGCTGAACTCAAAACATGATACGGCAGTAAGCTGACCTTTGCAAACGGTTGCTATGCTGGCCCTGCAGTGTGCACTTGGGCTGCTCAAAGCAGCCACTGTATGGCTGAGATTTGCACCATACCTTCGTGCAGCCTTGGAGTACCTTAGGCTGCTCCATGAATTTAAGCTGATAAGAATGAATTTCTTCCACCCATGGACAGGTATGAAACTGAGGCTTACAAACACATTGGTTCTTAGAAAAGAGCTTCACGTGCTCTTAGAGAAACATAATTTATTGTAAATAAGGGAATGAGGGAGTATCATTCCTATGTAAGAAGATTCCTCTCTTTTATTAAATAGAGCCCAGAAACACTGATCTAAGACAACATATCATAAACAACAGATTGAAAAGAAAATCTTGAAAATCCCAAGCAATTGTCACATTCTGCACCTGATCAGAAAAGATCATTCTTCCACAAATCAGGCTATGTAACATTTGATGTATAGATTTGTAATAATGCAACATCACCTTAAAAACTGTGATTTATGGTTTGGGAAGCACACACTGTTGTCATTTGCCATAAAGCACAGTTCTGCCCAGCGTGCCATCTCCCACTCTGCCTGTGGGGGGATGTACTGTATCTGCAGGCCCAGAGAACAAGATTCCTTGGGATATTCTTGCCTTGGAGATTTCGTCAAGTGGATCTTCTTACTGACACCTGAACCCAGGATGACCTTACACCATGCGGGCACACTAGAATTTCAAACGACTCACCCCTGTAGGTATTATATAATCTGAAGCCAAAATATCAGAGGAATTTATTGTCATATAAATTCAGGTCCTTATTTTGCAATGAGCACTTAGAGGAGGGTGAGCTCTTGCACACAGCACAGCCCTTCTGCCTGGTGCAGGGCCAACAGCTGCATTTGGGTCTGTTCAGACCCACCAGCACATCATGCTCCAGCTATGTGACATGTTAATAAATTGGGATTAGATCAATTGCCATCAATCTCCATAATACACATTTAATAAAATAATAAATGGGAAAATATACATAGTAGAAATAAAATATTAATTCAGCACATTAATTAACGTGCTTTCTTCTCTGCACTGGCATGCATGCCCACATTTCAGTATTGCCCCAAACCATTTGTGCTCACAGGCTGCTTTCTGCGCTATTAGTTAAATTAATAGATGATTTCGAGCACCACTAGAGGGCACAGAATTATAATTCTGTGGATATTTCTTAGCGGATTGCCAAAAGTACAGAAGGAGCAGGAGTTCACTCACTTTTGTGGTTTACTGTACATATCCCCAGGTTATAGCCTTGATCCTCTCACCAGCAATGCTTCCATGTAGTTCTGTGACAGTGTGTGGTCACAGTGCTGCCCACGGCCAGGCTTACAGGGATGGGGATGGGGATGGGGATGAGAATAGGGATGAGGGGTTGGGACAGGGACATGGGATGGGGTACAGGGATGGGGACAGGAATGCAGGATGAGGACACTGATGCGCAATGGGGATGCAGGACTGGTGATGCTGAGTGGAGGCTGCCCACTCCACAGGACCATGCACACCCCACTTTGATGGCACAGTTCAGGTTTCCAGAACTTGAGCACCCATCCTCCAGTATTTAATTCCACTGACTAAGGCCAGGAGAAGGAAAGCATAAGCCCAGCACTGAGGCCCTGTTGTTTTGAGGCGTGCTGTGCTGTCATTGAGGACAAAAACAAACCTTTGCATATCGAAACACAGAAATGCAAACAAGTGGTAAATGAAGGATTAACTAACTCGATTTACAATTCAAAGAAGGAGTAGATGTGTGCCACTGGAAAGCTTAAATATTAATAGGGTTGCTGTGGATACTTACAGCAACTCCTTAACATTGCTCTGACATGTGTGCTCTTTCTGCCACGCCGCACCAAGAGTGCGAGCGGCTGCTGCAGCTCGTGTGAGACAGTTCCTGTGTGCAGCTGGCTGCTGGGGAGGAGGAAGTGCAATGAAGAAGGGAGGAAGATAGAGCTCTCTACTTAAAGACAGCTGATTGGGGGCTCTGGGGGCACTGCAGATGCCTTCATGTTGCTTTAGAGAGACACAAGTTGATGTTGTCACCCAGAACATCACTAGTTGGAGATGTGTGTGTTAATCAAATGCTTGAGAGCCCGGCCTCTCTAACTGTCCACTATGAAGGGGAAAAAAAAAAAAACACCACCAAGCCGACATTTAATTGTATTTCAGAATGCCCCTACTGATTTTCACACAACACCGGAGCCCACATTACCGCTTCCAATAACCCAACACAAATCAGCGCCCTGTTTTCACACGACAACGCTCAAGCTGCAAAACCAGTGCCACCCGCACTTATCAATAAGCCATCAATGCAGAGCCCGCGTGTGTCCCGCACTCCGCCACCCCGCGGGGGCGAAGAGGTCCCCCGGAGTCGGGGGACACCGCCGCGCCCCAGCAACGAGCAGCGACCAACAGCGGCGCGGCGCCGGGCGGGGAGGCGCGGAGTGGCCGCGCCTGCGGCGTGGAGGGGTGGATTTTTTTTTTTTTCCGCGAGCTCACCTTGATGCGCCGGGGCGTTAAAGGCCCGCTCTCGGCAGGGGGAGCTTTGTTTGCTCGGCGCTGCTCGGGCACCGCGCGGCCGCACCGCTACGCTCCGGACGCACCGCGCCGGGGCCGGAGCCGCCGCGCGCCGGGAGGGAACCGCGGACCCGGGCAGCCCCCGCCGCTCCCGGGATTCGCCAGTTCGTGTCCGGGGAACCGCGGAAGAGCCGAAGCGGAGTGCGGGACTGCGCCGTCCCCTCGTGGGGACTCCCGGCGGCTCTCTCCCGCCGCCCCGCCCGGACCGGCCGCTCTCTCCGTCCGCAACCGGCGGGGTCCCGCCGCCGGCCGAGCCTCCCCCGCGCCGCCGCACTTTTGGGACTTTCTCGGACTTAAATGGACATCTGTCGGGAGCGCAACTAACCCGCGGGCGCCGCGTCCTGCCTGCTGCCCGCCGGCGCCGACTTTCTCCGCCGCTCGCAGCGGGAGCGGCTGCTCACCCGGCCCGCCCGGAGCGAGAGAGGGGCGGCGAGCCCCGTCCGGCGCTCCGAGCCGCCGGCTCGCCCGGGCCGCGG